TAGAACAGACTGTTCTAAATTTGGGAAGAAAACTATAAATCACAGGGTAACCTCAAAGAAAAATGATAAACCTTCACATCAAAAAAGAGGACCAGCATAAATATTCAGCAAATACTAAAACAATAGCAGTGAAGGTAGTGATAACACAATTCATAAACAAAACGAGCTGAGCATAGAAAATTATATGGAACAAAAATCAACACCATGAAAAAGCACATAACAAAAATGACAGCAACAAATTCACATTTGCCAATAATTACATATCTAGCAAGGGACTTATCTCTGAGATTTATAGTGGAAGAGTGGATGATCAAACTATGGTACATACACATAATGGAATGTTACACAGCACTAAAGAATAATGTAGAGTCTGCAAAACACCGCATAATATGGATGAACTTGGAGGACATTATGCTGAGTGACATAAGTCAATCACAGAAGAACAAATATAGTATTAGTTCATTGTTGTGGAGGGTCAAGGAAAGATTTATTATGGAGGGAAATTTTCTTTGTTGGTTGCCAGCAGTCGGAGGGGAAGGGAGGGTTCACTGCAAAAAAAAAAAGGAAAATGCATTGATCCATGTCACTTTAGTTTTGTGTATTTCACTGTACATAAATTATATTTCAATAAAATGAATTAAAAAAAAAAAAACACCCTATGAAGCATGGGGTTACCATGAATCAGAGTCAACCTGACTGTAATTGTTTAATTTTTCCTTCCTCCTGTCTAGGTTCAAACTCAAAACTAAGCTCACTGCCACTGAGTTGGTTCTGTCTCATAGTAACCCCCATTAGGTTTCTGAGGCTGTAAATTTTTATGGAAGCAGACTGCCTCATCTTTCTTCTGCACAGCAGCTGGTGGGTTTGAACCACCAATCTATTGGTTAACAGCCAAATACCTTTCATACCACCAGAACTCCTTGTCTAGGTTCAGCACCTACTATATACACAGGTGCTTATTTTTCTTAAGGAACTTTTTTGCTTTGTCCCTCACACCTGGCTGTTTTAGACAGATGAGGTAAGTAGATAGCCAAGATCCACATAGATAAGATGTTTCTGCCCAGAATAGATAAAGGTAGGTGTGGAATGATCAAAAAGGTTACCTAAAGTAGCTGATGCCAGAGAAGACAGGCAGAAGAGTGGTCCATGTAAGAACACGAGCCAAGGTTCAGTGACAGGATTCAGCCCGGCTAGTTTGTAATGGGAGTGGGAAAATCACAGGGAAGTGAGCATGGACAGGAGACTGTGAAAAGCCATTCTGTCTCTTTTGTTTCATTTTGATGAAAACTTATTTTGTTTTGGGAAAACTGTTGGTCCCAGAACATGAAAGAAGCAGAAGAAAATGAAAATACTAAAGGATGATACAATGTTTCAAGTTTTGGATGACTGGGATTTTCTAATCATAGAACAGAAATATCTAACCAAATGCCAAGAAAACAGACTCTGGGCACAGTAGCTGTGACTATCCTCAAGAGCAATGGCTGAGAGGTTGAGAAAACCATGTTCCCAAATCTACAGCCACCAACCAAGTCCAAGTGGCCACAGAGGTCATGACAGTAGACTGTCGCTGTGTTTACCACAATTATTTGCATGGAAATATTCAGTATACTGAAGCGCTAAGTGTTTACAAGTGGGGTATGATTATCAGCCAAACAGGACCATGAATGAATTGAGTCTTCCCATAGGGCTCTCTGTCACAGGAAGTTCACTAGCCCAGGAAATCTTCAGAGTAGTTCAATGCAATGGGATTTCTGGTAAATTCTAGACCCATTCTAACCTCAGAAATATTATTTCCTCATGATTATCAATCCATCATAAATTCTAAAACTAGAGAAGATAGATTTTTAATTACTATGGGGTACATAAGGAGCTCTGGTAGCATAGTGCCTAAGGCATGACTGCTAACCAGAAGGCTGGCGGTTCAAACTCACCAGCCACTCC